AATACATTGTGCTCTGATCTCTTGAATGATTTTTATTTTCATAACGTGAACATATAAAATATACTAGCAAAATTGTACATGTGTATATGCGGAGGCATAGAGGATTTTTATATGCATTACACACTGGTGACAAGAATGAATATTTATGTGAAAATGCAGCAGCACATACATACTAATCACTAAATTATCAATCAGTGAAAGCAAAGCAGTATCAACACTCATATAGCAACAGAAAATAATTGGATACAAACAAACTCAAATCAAATCAGAAAACCACATTACTCCATCATATTCCCAGTTACGTTGAAAATATTCATGAGGACTTCCCAACTCCTCTCATTTGCTTTGTAGTCCTAAACAGGGCTCTATATGGCATGTGAGAGGAGGAGGTGTTCATGATAGTTGAATCTATTATTTGAATCCAACAGGCCAACATTCTTTAATGTGAACATTTCAGAGTATAATAGTAGTCATAGAGATAAACATAACTTTCACTGCAGTATCAGAATGAGTTTTTGATTTTTCATCCTAAAAGAAAAATTGACTGATAAATGACAAGCAAACTTGATCCTCAAGCAATAAAGCCATCTAACTTACACAGGTGAATCAAGTACTACAAAACGGTTGTAAAAGCTTTTATGGATATTTTTATTACTAAGCAAAAAAGATGTTTGATAAATGATGTCTTAGATGCAGTTATATGTCTCATGGCTACGAATAGTACATATCAATCACAGGACCACACCCAGTATACCACTCAATGTGATGATTCGTCTGGATGAAAAGTTTGGAGACCTACTGTTCCAAGACATGTTGCAGGTTTGTCAGAAAATTTTATCCATGGCATAAGATTGAAACTCCATCAAACAGAAAATAGAACAAGAATATTAAATTTAGTTGATGTCACCTAGAAGACCCCACCTATATTGAGATAAGCAAAGATTGGACCATGTTTGTTATAGAAACACAGTATTCACAGCTCATAATAATACTCCCAGAATTTGTTGAACCACTTCATTTTCAAAAATCTAACCCCCAGCTATTCTTATACAATGAGTAACCTTGCAAGTCTGAAATCACATGAATTCCAAGTGTCTATTTAAGCATGCTTACTGACCCTTCGTTTTTTCTCTTATTCAAAAAAAAAAAAAAAAAAAAACAGTCGCAAGTGTTTGGGTTTAGTAGCTCTTCGACTGGCAGATGAGGATCTTCCTTTCAACTATCTCTCCTATGCTTCGAGCTCCAGGTATATCAGTATATACAGGCATCAACAATTGCATCAGTCATCAGTAACAACCAAATATATTGTCTATAGCGAAAACTGATAATGCAATTAAAAACTCCTATTAATAGAAAAGCGCAAAAACTTGGAGGATGAAGTCTCAGGTAAGGGCATAAGCTTAATCCCTTGTCAAGTCTATGAAAGCTAACAAAAGCAGCCACCAAAATCAATGATGAGAAAAAGGTTTCAAAAAAGATCTTATGATTCAAGACTCGTACAATTAAGTTCAACATGAACTAAATTTAAATATGATCCCTAGGCAATAAACAAGGCTAAAGGTTGGGCTATATGGAAAAAAGATCACTCTAAGGTGAGAAGCTGAATGACAGACTAATGATGGCAGAAAGAGCATTTACAGATCGAGATGGACTCTTTGGAGGACATGGTACAAGCACTTGGTATGTTTCTCCAATTATTAACTTTTGCAGCACTATTCACAGAATAAATTTTGACAAAACTACGAAAATGAAACTCCAGGTTATAATGCAATATGATTGATGCAATAGAGCTTTGTTTTGGTTCTTTTTATTAGTACTAAAATGGAATAACTTTACCTTCCATCTTTCTTTCATTTATGCGCCTCAAAGCATAAGATTATGGGTCTAGATCCTTCCCTGGAATACAAGATGCCGTTGAAGAGGCAAACATCTAAAACAGCAGAGTCATGGCTTACTGTACAACATGAAGTTTGGAGAGTCTCCAGAGCAGTCAATCATGTCTCTCTAGTCCTCAATGGGGAACTAACATGAAATGCATAATCTACAATGTAATGATTCTCGAGGCAATTTAGAACAAATGTTCTGGATGTCTACAAGTTTACTAGAGGAACGTTTAGCCAGACACAATGGTAGTCAGGAGACAGCCAAACTGTTCTTGACTTACATGAATAAAAAACAGAAGAATAAGTAATTGACAATAAGCCCATATTTCAATTTTGTCCTTAGACTTTCTCTGGGATTAAATTCCTAATTAAATCACAGATTATCAAGTCATTTTGGGCCACCTGATCAATGTTCTCACAGCTCTTTCACATAAGCAACATGCCTAACTTCCATCTTCTCTTGGTTGGCTATCTACAAATGTTTACCATCATATCCTCCATGTTGGACAAAATCAAATAAAAAAAAATAGAACTTGAGAAAGAGCTAAACTGATAACGCAGAAACATCCATTGACAACTAGACTACACTACCATAAATTAACTGGAATCAAGAATTGCATAATAATCATATCAATAGTACATACTATCCAAAAAAGAAAAAGAGTGCAAACCCCGAAGTTAAACACTAACAAAAGCAATTCCAAGTTTTCAAGACTCACAACAGTCACAACATTCTCCGCAAAAATGGTATCCTAAAATGAAACTCACTCAGATAATCCTCAAGCTCGCCAACCACTCACAATGAGAAAAACACATTTCCACAAGAATGAAGGAATTTTAGAAATAAAATCAAATCTATAGATTGACAGAATAGTTAAAACGTTCAGGTGCTAGAGAACCATGAGAACAAAGTATGTCCTATAAAAATTACACTCCTCCAACATCATTATTCTAGCACCAATGCAGAAAAAACCAGCAAGACACCATGAAAAGTCTCAAGGGTACCTCTGGTTAGGCGTGCAAATGAGCTAAGCTCAGCCAAATTAGATAGCTTATCAATTTAAGTTGAGTAAGAGATAATGACCCAACAATTGAGTTTCAAATTTTAGAATCAACACACATTGCAAAGGACTTGAAATAAGCTCAAGCTCAAGTCTATTTATTTAATTAAATATCAAGCCACTTGGAGTGCAATGTCAACTCATATTGCAGCTCAATTTAAGACTCAGAATATAAATATATTTAGTTACATTGAACAAATAGATGAAAGCTTTGTTTGTAAGTGTGTGTGCATAAATAATATATATATAGAGCGGCAGGTTAAGGCACATTTTTTTCACAAATTATGATATGTTTTGAGATATTGAATCAAGATACTTTCAATGGCTCAATTCAATGCATCTTGAAAATGACACAACTAAGAGCAACCTCAATCGTTCAAATGCATCAACCAAATTACTGAAAAATTGTGTCAAAACTTGTGTTAAAAATACGGTTCTCTTATATACAGGGAAGGTTCAGTTGCTCTTGATGCTGAAAGAGGGAAACTAAAATCATCAATAAACTGTACATAATACTTAAACCCTTCTAATGAAGCAAATGGAGCAGGACCCCACATGTCACTATGCATAAAGTTCAGTTGCTTTTGATGCTGAAAGAGGGAAACTATTCCTATGCATATCTAAATGGTAGGTGTCACAAAAAGACTACTAGTTTTGAACATAGTTTGCTATCAACATGACTCATAATCTATGAAATGCCTTAAAGTGAGGTGTTCTAGTCTGTTATGTCAGAGCAAGCTTACATATTTCTACTATTGGTAACTGACAAGCTAAAGGATGACAACGAGATACATTGTCAGTTCAGAATTATCATGTTGACTAGTAACCAAACATTGCTAATCATGCATGAATGAGAAGGACAAGATGCATGAGAATCACAACATATTGGCTTTTAAATCCAAATCATTGTTGCTTTTATTAAGGCTATTGCTTTTATTAAGGGAACTGTCATTACAAGTATTGATATTACAAAGCTACAATCTAATTTTTACAGTTTTCTTTCAAACCAAAGTTTCAGGCAGATATTTTGACATCAAATCATTATTGAATTCTTTAACACAAGCTAAAGGAGAGTTGAACACTACTAAAAAGATACAATACACAGAATTTAATTGGGAAAACTATTGGAAGCAACAGATTGTGAAGACAAATTGGAGGAGGGAAAACTCAACTGATAAGGTCCAGCTTAAGCTCTCCCTACAATAGCACTTTCCTTGTAGCCTGTCTTTAACAGTACAACAATCAGAAGTGAATTCTACTACAACATTGTTATCTTCGGTAAATTTGCATGCTGGAGAAGATTTTTGGTTATTCTAGACACACATAAGACATCTTTAGATGGACATTTTTCCTTTCAGCTACACCATTAGATGCAAGTGAATAAGAGGTGTAATTTCATGGATAATCCTAAAATTGGACATATGAGTTAAATCCAAAAGATTCGTACTCTCGGCCTTTACACTTCGAATTCTTTTTATCTAATTAGTTTTCAACTTCAAGGAGGAACAATTTACACATTTCAAGAGCATCGCATTTATTCTTAAGTAATACACATACGTAAACTTGAAAAAAACATCAATCAAAGTAATATGTTATATTTCCTCTCTGAGTCAAAATTCCGTTAAACTCACGTAAATCAGTATGAATCAATTCAAGCAATTCTTTTTCTTTCAACACTTTTATGAGGCCCCTTAGTGTTTTTTTCTTTACTGCAAATTTCATATTTTCAAATCTTTGTTTGATCAAGGAATTGATCCAAACTACTCATCATGCCAACATATCTAGAATTAATATGAAAAAACGACATGCCAAAAATTCACACAAGACCACCAAAAAAAAAAAAAAATGCTGAAGCAGAAGTAGTTTTATTATTCTCAACATTCAATTTAAACATGCTATCATTAGCTAACCCTTGCCAACAAAATTTCCCTTCTTAGAATTATATATTGATCAACACTATAGTCTGTTTGAAACAAGCTTATTAGAAGGAAACTTGACACCAGATTCTTCCTCAAGGAGGGAGTATACATCACATCTTTCGGGGGTCCCACTTCCAATTATCTTTTTCGATGCAGGTCAGCAGCAGTAGGTTGTTTCGAAATAACCTTTTGGGGTATATATCTAACTTTGCTTACGGTTCTCAATCTAATGACAAGACTCTATACCATCTTTTAATAATATTAAAAGAGATATACTATATTTAGGAAAGACATCAAACCAATCATCCTGTTGAATCTTCCTTTTTAAATTTCAAGTTCTATTACAAAAACATAACATTAGATAAAGAATAAAAGGGAATGGTCCCGGCCATAGAATAAATCAAAAGGAAAAGCAAAGAATGGCAAAAGGACGTCGCATACTGCCTCAATGGAAATAAATAAACATAGAATTCCATAGAAGAAGTCATTTTGAAATGGAATATAAGATTTATTAATGGAAGCTTATCTAAAGGTTCAAACTGTAAATCATTGCATTCATAATAAGTCTCTCTCTTTCTTTCCTATGATCTTCTACGGTTTTCCTTGTTAACTAGCCATTCCAAAACTCTCAAGACCCAACTCAAAACATCACCAAACCTGAACTCCATGATCAAAACAGCAATCAAAATCTTTCTTCTAGCAGTAGCTACCTCTTTCTCCTTCCTCCTCTTTTCTCCACCACCAAAATCTTTCTATTACTCTCTCTACATATACCCTGCCCTATCTGACAATGTCTCAGTATCACAACACCTCCAAACCCTCACTCGCCGACCCCATGTCGCCGGTTCAGAGCCAACACCGAGGCTGCAGCTTATGTGTTATCAGTTCTCACTTCCTGCAAGATAAAAGCACATATTGCTTCCTATGCTGTCTCCCTAACTTACCCAGTTTCACGTTCTTTATCACTAACACGTCCGTTCCCAGACCCTCCCATCACTTTCTCTCTCCGCCAAGAAATTTATGATGGTGATCCATTTGCTGATGTTGCTGACCAAGTCCTACCGACGTTTCATGGAGACGGGAAGTCAGGTACTGCAACAGGACCAGTTGTTTATGTGAACTATGGAAGAATGGAAGACTACGTGACATTGGAAGAAATGGGCGTGAATGTGTCGGTTAGTGTTGTGTTGGCAAGATATGGAGAAATATACAGGGGAGACATTGTGCACAATGGGTTTGAGGCAGGTGCTATTGGGGCTCTGATTTATACAGATAGGAAAGATTACGGCGGCGGGAGTGGTGACGCAAGGTGGTTTCCGGATGATAAGTGGATGCCGCCAAGTGGAGTCCAGGTGGGTTCAGTTTATGATGGGGTGGGTGACCCGACTACACCTGGATGGGCTAGTACGGAAGGATGTGAGAGGATATCTAATGAAGAGGTTGAGACAACAGGTGATGTTCCACTTATACCTTCATTGCCAATTTCGGCACAAGATGGCCATACAATCATGAGGTCCATTGAGGGACAAGTGGTGAATCAGGATTGGCAAGGAGACAAAGATGCCCCTATTTACAGGACTGGACCAGGACCAGGAGTTGTCAATCTCAGTTACAAGGTCAGTATGCAACCTAGTTTCAATTTCAGTATAAGTCAAAGCAATGTATTAATCCTACGGTTCAACAAGTCAGACTGTCGATATAATCAATATTTTACTAATTGTACTTGCTTCAGGGGGCAAACGTCATAGCCACGATCCAAAATGTGATTGGTGTCATTACAGGTACAGAGGAGCCTGATCGGTAAGCTACCAAATTGTGATTAATGGTATATGTAAACATTGGTTAAGAACTTAAATAGGCATGCAACTAAAGAGAAGATTGTATATTCTTCTCTTCAAAATGGAATATAAATGATGACATTATAGTAGAATTTTGTCATTCTTGAAACCGTTTCTAGATTTGTGATACTGGGTAATCATCGAGATGCATGGACATTTGGAGCTGTGGATCCTAACAGTGGCACTGCTGCTCTACTAGAGGTAATTGTATTTCTTCTCTTGATAAGAAACAGAAATCACACATTTCAATTAGTGGGCCGGCACTGTAGGTTGCGGAAAGACTAGAAAAGCTGCGGAAAAAAGGGTGGAAACCTCGAAGAACCATAGTGTTATGCAATTGGGATGCTGAGGAGTATGGCCTGGTCTCTCTCTTTCTCTCCCTCTCTCATTCTCTGTGTTTGTGACAGAGAACAGAAACTTAAGATAATCCCTGTTGTATTTCCAGACAGGATCAACTGAATGGGTAGAAGACAACAGGGAGATGCTAGCTTCAAGGGTTGTTGCTTACTTGAACGTTGACTCTGCAGTATACGGACCAGGATTCTATGCCTCAGCAACTCCTCAACTTGATGAACTACTCAAGCAAGCTACTCAACAGGTTTATTAATAAAATTTTACCAAATCTACAGGCACCAATAGACATTACAAAAGCAACTGCTATGATTTTCCAAAATAATTTTTGCCTCCATCACTCCATGGGAGTGGTATTACTCAATCGACTAGATATTCATTACTTTGTATGTTTGGTCTATCTGCACAGATTTGTTTTTGGTTTTAAGCAATCATCCTTAGCTCAAAACACATCTACTTAATTGAGACAAATCGACTAAACTCTCCTTCGTTAGAGATGTGGATTGTGACAGATTCTCCACTTTATGGATCTCACGTCTTCACAAGACTACATTCTCGGATTGCAAGCCAGCTTTGATATCAATTGTAAAAGTCTGTACCCAACCAAATAGATATTTCACATCTCTGGTCTCTAACGAATAAGAGTTTGTATCAGATTACCTTAAATCCCTCAACTAAGTAGATATGGTTTGAATGAAGGTGGTTGCTTAGTGCCCAAAAACAAATCGGTTCTGAGTAGGACAAGCAAAAAACATCTATATGGTTGGGTTTAAATCTTTTTGTTATTGCGACTTTAGCTCATCTCAATCAAATTTGTTACTGATTTTGAAGGTTCAAGATCCAGATAACTCATCACAAACAGTCTACGATTCCTGGGTTGGTTCTAGTCATTCTCCAGTGGTAAGTGCAATGCCAATTGCATTAAACTGCACCACCTTGATGAGGTAGTTTTAATAACCTTCACGGAAAAATAGATTAAAAATCTCGCAACCCATCAGTGATCATTACATAAATCTTACATTACAATAGATCATGAATGGTAACATACTCTCTCTATGAAGATTGGGAGATTAGGAGGTGGAGGATCAGATTATTCAGCTTTTGTGCAGCATATCGGTGTTCCATCAGCTGACCTGGCTTTCGGAGAAGGTAAAAGAACATTACAAGGTCTTTGATCCCATAATACATATTAGCATTCTAGCAAAATATGTACATTATTTATGCATAAATTTGCCAAATCATTTACTTCGTAATCCTAAATAGAGCTCTGATAACTTGTGGTATGTGAACTTTCTTTAACGTGACCATTAGAGTTGTCTTAGAGAAATTAAGAAAAGACTCCAACTTAGCATCAGAATGAGCTTTTGAAACGAAACAGTTGACCCATACATAATAAAACCATCTAAATTAATTGAAACTTACAGGAAGAAACAAGTTGAGTCCTGCAGTGAGGAACTTTCAACCTTACACACCCAAGACTATCCTTAAAGTTGAAAACGCTTTTATATGATTTGTCATAACGAATTAATCACTATAAATGCTGATATATTCTTAGCTACTAGTATAATTGATGCTTAATACATCTTGTAGCAAAACATGTCTTCTGGTGACTAACTCTTAGTAAGCATCAATCACAGGATACCCAGTATACCACTCAATGTACGATGACTTTGTCTGGATGGAAAAATTTGGAGACCCACTGTTCCAAAGACATGTTGCAGGTTTGTCGTAAAAAAACTTCCATGGCATAAATGATTAAAATTCCATCCTACAATGAGATAAGTAGAGATTGGGGCATGCTTATTGAAACAGAGTGTTAACAGTTCTGTATAACGTTGAAGAACAAAGTTGTTCATAAATCTAATACACACAAGCTATTACATTGTACAAGGGGGTATCTGTTTTAACATTCCATTGACCCTATGTTTATCTTTCCGTTTCTCTCTATTAAAAAAAAAAACAGCGGCAGTGTTTGGGGTTTAGTGGCTCTCCACTAGCAGACCAAGAGTTCTGCCTTTCAATTATCTCTCCTATGCTTCGAGCTCCAGGTAAATTTGTATTAACAGCCATACATGTCTACAATACATCCAAATATTTTTAAGTCTAAACCAGAACTATAATGCAATTAAAAAATCATATTGATAGAAAAGCGCAAAGGATTTGAAGGATAAGGTCTCAGGTATGGGCATAAGCTTAATTCCCTTGTTCAGTCCATTGAGGAGCTAGCAAAAGCAGCCACCAAAATCGATACGAGAAAAAGGTATCAAACGTGATCTGATTTCAAAACTGATACAATTGATGCTTTTCAATAATTCAAATATGTTTCCTAGGCAATAGTCGAAGCCAAAGGTTGTGCATCAATATGGCGAAAAGACCATTCTAGGGTGAGAGAGCTGAATGACGGGCTAATGATGGCAGAAAGAGCATTTACAGACCGAGATGGACTCTCTGGAAGGCCGTGTACAGCATTTGGTACGTTTGTACTTAATTAAATTCTCACGCATCCACACAAACAGTTTTTGTTGAAAACTACAACGTGAAACATCCTGATGTATAGTGCACATCATATTGACGTAATTAGAACTTCATAGAAATGACTAACCTTTCCTTTATATTTTACTTTGCAGATTTATGCACCCCGAGGCATATGATTATGGATCTAATTCATTCCCGGGAATAGAATGCCATTTTAGAGACAAAACCCCACACTGCGGAGTCGGCTACCGTACAACATGAAGTTTGGAGAGTTCCAGAGCAGTCAGCATGCCGCTCGATTCTCACACGGAGAACTAACATGAATACGTACAAACTATAATGCAGATTCTACTTCAAGGATTTATGAGCAATATCCATTATGTGCTAGAAACTCACTGGCAGTTGCAGTGTATGTTGCCAAATACAATGGCAGGCATCAGCCTGATTGCTCTGAATCTAAATTAATCATAAATAGAACTGCGAAAGAAGTTAGTAATTTGATATCTACTGCATTGTGCTAGTAATATGATATGAGATGATGGTTTACCACTTCCACACATCAATTGAGGAAAACAGGAAATTCAATGACGATAATAAGCACCCATATCCCAAATAATATTCGCCAAGCCCAATATTCCAATAACACATTTCCAGTTTGTCATATCTCTTTAGGATTTAATTCAATTAATCACAGAATATCGTCTTTTTTGGCCAACTGGATCAAGCATGAAATACGCGTGATTCCTAATGACGATAACTGTTTGGAAGTAAATGCCAATACAATTCAAGGGAACGGCACATAAAGTTTACCACAGATACGGGTCCTAAACTCCTCAGAAACTACAAGTTATTTTATTAAGCATATGCGTACTGCATTCCCATATTACATAGAGAGAATCGATGCATATTTGCAATACACCAAAAACAGAAGATCTAATATAACAGACACACATGGAGAGGAACAAGACATAATCGTAAATCAACCACGGAATGAACTGAATAGAACTTTGTCATTACACAAGTGTTGGTCCCACTTCCAATTATCTTTTTCGATGCAGGTCAGCAGCAGTGGTTGTTTCGAAATAACCTTTTGGGTATATTCTAACTTTGCTACGGTTCTCAATCTAATGACAAGACTCTATACCATCTTTTAATAATATTAAAAGAGATATACAATATTTAGGAAAGACATCAAACCAATCATCCTGTTGATCTTCCTTTTTAAATTTCAAGTTCTATTACAAACACAACATAGATAAAGAATAAAAGGGAATGGTCCCGCCATAGAATAAACAAAAGGAAAAGCAAAGAATGGCAAAAGGACTCGCATACTGCCTCAATGGAAATAAATAACATAGAATTCCATAGAAGTCATTTTGAAATGGAATATAAGATTTATTAGGAAGCTTATCTAAAGGTTCAAACTTAAATCATTGCATTCATAATAAGTCTCTCTCTTTCTTTCTTATGATCTTCTACGGTTTTCCTTTTAACTAGCCATTCCAAAACTCTCAAGACCCAACTCAAAACACCCCAAACCTGAACTCCATGATCAAACAGCAATCAAATTCTTTCTTCTAGCGTAGCTACCTCTTTCTCCTTCCTCCTCTTTCTCCACCACCAAAATCTTTCTATTACTCTCTCTACATATCCCTGCCCTATCTGACATGTCTCAGTATCACAACACCTCCAAACCCTCACTCGCCAACCCCATGTCGCCGGTTCAGAGCCAACCCGAGGCTGCAGCTTATGTGTTTCAGTTCTCACTTCCTGCAATGTAAAAGCACATATTGCTTCCTATGCTGTCTCCCTAACTTACCCAGTTTCACGTTCTTTATCACTAACACGTCCTTTCCCGACCCTCCCATCACTTTCTCTCTCCGCCAAAAATTTATGATGGTGATCCATTTGCTGATGTTGCTGACAAGTCCTACCGACTTTCATGGAACGGAAGTCAGGTACTGCAACAGGACCAGTTTGTTTATGTAACTATGGGGTTGGAAGCTACGTGACATTGGAAGAAATGGGTGTGAATGTGTCGGTATTGTTGTGTTGGCAAGATATGGAGAAATATACAGGGGAGACATTGTGCACAATGTTTGAGGCAGGTGCTATGGGCCCTGATTTATACAGATAGGAAAGATTACGGCGGCGGAGTGGTGACGCAAGGTGGTTTCCAGATGATAAGTGGATGCCGCCAAGTGGAGTCCAGGTGGGTTCAGTTTTAGATGGGGTGGGTACCCGACTACACCTGGATGGGCTAGTACGGAAGATGTAGAGGATATCTATGAAGAGGTTGAGAAAACAGGTATGTTCCACTTAACCTTCGTGCCAATTTGGCACAAGAGCCATAATCTGAGGTCCATTGAGGGACAAGTGGGAATCAGATTGGCAAGAGACAAAGATGCCCATTTTACAGGACTGGACCAGGACCAGAGTTGAATCTCTAACAAGGTAGTATGCAACCCATTAATTTCATTAAAGCATTATCATTCTAGTCCAACCAGTCAAAACCAAACTAAACAAGTTACTGCTTGGCACTGTATGCATTTCAGGGAGAACATGTCATTGCAACAATCCAAAATGTAATTGGTGTCATTATAGGAGAAGAGAGCCGATCGAGTTTATAACTTCTGGAAATGGCATGGATTAAAAGATTCATTAAAACTTCAATAAGCATGCAACTAAAAAAAGACCATAATTCAATGTAACATATAACTCATCAAATGGAATATAGAAATAAGTAACCCACCTCATAGTATTTTGTCCCTGTTCAACTATATCTAGATTTGTCATCCTGGGTAATCATGGGATCATGGACGTTTGGAGCCGGATATCCTAACAGGGCACTGCTGCTCTCCTGGAGGTAACCATATTTTTCTCTTCGAAGAAATAAGCATCACATTTCAATAATCGCCCTTCAACTGGATTCACCTGCATCGTAGGTTACGCAAAGACTAGAAAAAATGCAGAAAAGAGGGTGGAAACCTCGACGAACCATTCTGTTAGCAATTGGATGCTGAGAGTATGGCCTGGTCTATCTCTCTCCCTATCTTATTCCTGTATCTGAGAGAGAGAACAGAAACATTAACAACCCCTGCTCTCTTTACAGATAGGATCACTGAATGGGTAGAAGAGAACAGGGATGCTAGCTTCAAGAGTTGTTGCTTATTTGAACGTTGACTCTGCTGTACATGGAGCAGGATTCCACCTCGGCAACTCCACAACTTGATGAACTACTCAAACAAGCTACTCTACAGTACTCATTAGTATTGCCAATTCTACAAGCACCAATTGGCATAACAAAAGTAGCCACCACAAAAATTAAAGACAGCATATTTGTCAACTAGTGTAAATAATCATCAGTCCTTGATCACAAGACAAACATAGTGGAACAGCAACAAGAATTAACAAAAAGAAAGAAACAGTAGTTGACCTATTGTGCTACTTGAATTTATCTTATTTCAATGTTGCTGCTTTAGCTCATCTTAATCTTTTTAACAATTTGAGTTCAAGATCCAGATAACTCATCAAAAACAATCTACGAATCGTGGGTTGGTTCCAGGAATTCTCCAGTGTAAGTGCAATCCAATAGTTTTAACTGCACCTCCTTAATGTGGTAGTTTTAATTAACATGACTAAAATCAGTGAGCTTACTCGGTCCTCCAACCCTCTAGTGATCACAATAATTCTTGCTTTATATATTCCATTATCATTCTTCTATATGAAGATTGGGACTAGGAGGTGGAGGATCAGATTATGCAGCTTTTGTGCAGCACATCGTATTCCAGCCTTGACATGTCTTTGGAAAAGGTACAAAATACATTGTGCTCTGATCTCTTGAATGATTTTTTATTTTCATAACTGAACTATAAAATATACTAGCAAAATATGTACATGTGTATATGCATGGAGGCATAGTGATTTTTATATGCATTACACACTGGTGACAGGATGAATATTTATGTTGAAAATGCAGCAGCAACATACATACTAATTCCTAAATTATCAACAGTGAAAGCAAAGCAGTATCAACACTCATATAGCAACAGAAAATAATTGGATACAAACAAACTCAAATCAAATCAGAAAACCACATTACTCCATCAAATTTCCCAGTTACGTTGAAAATTTGTCCATGAGACTTCCCAACTCCTCTCATTTGCTTTGTAGTCCTAAACAAGCTCTATATGGCATGTGAAGAGGCGGTGTTCATGAAGTATTGAATCTATTATTTGATCCAACAGGCCAACATTCTTTAATGTGAACATTTCAGAGTATAACATGTAGTCAGAGAATAAACATAACTTTCTACTGCAGTATCAGAATGAGTTTTGATTTTTCATCCTAAACGAAAAAATTGACTGATAAATGACAAGCAAACTTGATCCTCAAGCAATAAGCCATCTAACTTGAACACAGGTAAACAAGTACTACAAAACGGTTGTAAAAGCTTTATGATATTTGTTATAAATAATTAATGACTCCCAATGCTCAGATATACTAAGCCCTAGCAAATATTTTATTACTAACAAAATGGATTTTGATAATGATGTCTTAGATGCAGTTATATAGTCTCATGGCTAACGAATAGTACATATCAATCACAGGACACCCAGAATACCACTCAATGTATGATGACTTCGTCTGGATGGAAAAGTTTGGAGACCTACTGTTCCAGACATGTTGCAGTTTTGTCAGAAAATTTATCCATGGCATAATGATTGAAACCCCATCAAACAGAAAATAGAACGAAGTATTAATTTAGTTGATGTCATCCTAGAGATCCCACCTTATATTGAGATAAGCAAAGATTGGACCATGTTTGTTATAGAAACACAGTATTCACAGCTCATAATATTACTCCCGAATTTGTTGAACCACTTCATTTTCAAAAATCTAACCCCAAGCTATTCATTATACAATGAGTAACCTTGAAGTCTGAAATCACATGAATTCCAAGTGTCTATTTAAGCATGCTTACTGACCCTTCGTTTTTTCTCTTATCAAAAAAATAAAAAAAAGTCGCAAGTGTTTGGGGTTTAGTAGCTCTTCGACTAGCAGATGAGGAGTTCTTACCTTTCAACTATCTCTCCTATGCTTGCGAGCTCCAGGTATATCAGTATATAACAGGCATCAACAATTGCATGCAGTCATCAGTACAAACCAAATATTATTGTCTATAGCGAAAACTGATAATGCAATTAAAAACTCCATATTAATAGAAAAGCGCAAAAGACTTGGAGGATGAAGTCTCAGGTAAGGGCATAAGCTTAAATCCCTTGTTCAAGTCTATTGAAGAGCTAACAAAAGCAGCCACCAAAATCAATGATGAGAAAAAGGTATCAAACAAGATCTTATGATTCAAGACTCGTACAATTAATGTTCAACATGAACTAAATTTAATATGATTCCCTAGGCAATAAACAAGGCTAAAGGTTGGGCATCCATATGGAAAAAAGATCACTCTAAGGTGAGAGAGCTGAATGACAGACTAATGATGGCAGAAAGAGCATTCACAGATCGAGATGGACTCTTTGGAAGGACATGGTACAAGCACTTGGTATGTTTCTCCAATTATTAACTTTTTGCATCACTATTCACAGAATAAAGTTTTTGACAAAAACTACGAATTGAAAACATCCAGGTTATAATGCAAAATATTGATGCAATTAGATCTTTGTTTTGGTTTCTTTTTTATTAGTACTAAAATGGAATAACTTTACCTTCCATCTTTCTTTCAGATTTATGCGCCCTCAAAGCATAATAATTATGGGTCTAGATCCTTCCCTGGAATACAGGATGCCGTTGAAGAGGCAAACAATCTAAAAACAGCAGAGTCATGGCTTACTGTACAACATGAAGTTTGGAGAGTCTCCAGAGCAGTCAATCATGTCTCTCTAGTCCTCAATGGGGAACTAACATGAAATGCATAATCTACAATGTAATGATTCTCGAGGCAATTTATGAACAAATGTTCTGGATGTGCTAAAAGTTTACTAGAGGAACTGTTTAGCCAGACACAATGGTAGTCAGGAGACAGCCAAACTGTTCTTGACTTACATGAATCAAAAACAGAACGGAATAAAGTAATTGACAATAAGCCCTATATTTCCAATTTTGTCCTTAGGCTTTCTCTGGGATTAAATTCCTAATTAAATCACAGATTATCAAGTCATTTTGGGCCACCTGGATCAATGTTCTCACAGTCACAGCTCTTTCACATAATGCAACATGCCTAACTTCTCATCTTCTCTTGGTCGGCTATCTACAGATGTTAACACCATCATATCCTCCATGTTGGACAAAAACTAAAAAAAAAACTGTAGAGAAAGAGCTAAACTGATAACCGCAGAAACATCCATTGACAACTAGACTACTACTACCATAAATTAACAGGAATCAAGAATATTGCGTGAAATAAAATCATATCAATAGTACATACTATCCAAAAAAGAAAAAGAGTGCAAACCCCGAAGTTAAACACTAACAAAAGCAATTCCAAGTTTTCAAGATCTCACATCAGTCACAACATTCTCCGCAAAAATGGTATCTCCTAAACTATGAAAACTCACTCAGATAATCCTCAAGCTCGCCAACCACTCACAATGAGAAAAACACATTTCCACAAGAATGAAGGAATTTCAGAAATAAAAATCAAATCTATAGATTGACAGAATAGTTAAAACGTTCAGGTGCTAGAGAACCATGAGAACAAATTATGTCCTATAAAAATTACACTCCGTCCAACATCATTGTTCTAGCACTCAATGCAGAAAAAACCAGCAAGACACCATGAAAAGTCTCAAGGGATACCTCTGGTTAGGCGTGCAAATGAGCTAAGCTCAGCCAAATTAGATAGCTTATCAATTTAAGTTGAGTAAGAGATAATGAGCACAAACAATTGAGTTTCAAATTTTAAAATCAACACCATTTGCAAAGGACTTGAAATAAGCTCAAGCTCAAGTCTTATTTATTTAATTAAATATCAAGCCACTTTGAGTGCAATGTCAAGCTCATATTGCAGCTCAATATGAAGATTCGGAAATATAAATTTATATTAGTTACATTGAACAAATAGATGAAAGGTTTTGTTTTAAGTGTGTGTGCATAAATATATATATAGCGGCAGGTTCAAGGCACATTTTTTTTACACAAATTATGATATAGTTTTTGAGATATTGAATCAAGATACTTTCAATGGCTCAGATTCAATGCATCTTGAAAATGACACAACTAAGACGCAACCTCAATCGTTCAAATGCATCAACCAAATTACTGAAAAATTGTGTCAAAACTTGTGTTAAAAATACGAGGTTCTTTATATATATAGGGGAAGGTTCAAGCACACCAATTTTTTTCCATAAATTATGACACAGTGTTTAGACCATTCAAATGCACTTCGAAAATGACACAATTTATATTCAAATGCTTTACTCTAATGGCTTAAAAATTGTGTCAGAACTTGTGCCAAAAGGAAAAACAGGGTTCTTGAACCTTACCCATCTATATAAGCTGCATTTAAGAAATACACTCAATACGTCATGTATTCTTAGATCAAGCTCAGCTCACATGTTAAAAGATTGATATGAACCCATAAGGGTGAGATAAAAGCTAAATATACTGCCTCCAAGTACCATCCTTGCTGCTAACAGTTACAGGGAAAAATCAAGAAGGGCTGAACAGTTACAAAGATGGTTCCAAAATTCAACTCAGTAGATCAAATATGAAAGGTAAAAAGAAAAATAAAAGGAAAAACCCTTGTTGCCATAGATTATTCAATCCACATGCATGAAAACTTATGTATCATGGTTCAAGAGAAATCATTTATACTACTAAAATTCAATATCACACCTTTTCTAATACAAATATTTAATTCTAAGATTTTATTATTACGAAAAAAGATATCACTTAACAATATGAATTCCAATCTGTTCCTAGGTGCTTGCATGCTGTACAAATCAAGCTGGGGTACAATTAAAAGGAAAACTATAAGTGGTTAGGATTTTGAATCTGGAAAGTAAAGATTTAATCTTAATATATTATATACACTTTCAAACATGTACAATAAGGCAATTGTATGCTTAGAACATTTACTTCCAAACCTTGATAGCCCCATCTCTACTGCTTGATATGAGGAGTCTCTGGTTCAGCTTGACAGAAGCCAAAGAAAGAATGGAGTCACGGTGACAACCAGCAGAATCAGTGGCAGCAGCCGCAAGAACTGCTTTTGCTGTCAACTTGGTTGTTAGCGGTTGCCTCTTTCTCTCCTGTTTGCAAGAGAAATGATTAAATGTTAGTATTACAAATTCTAGTGATAAATATGGCTCTTCACGGTTTTCCTTTTGCATTAACTTGATTGTTAATGATTGTCTATTTAAACTTTTCAGCCATCAGATTATAAACTTAAGGAAAAGATGCAGCAAACAATCTCCTATAGCTCACTCCGCAACTCAGAACAGAAACAAGACTTGAAAGAATCTGTCAGAGGGAATCGGATGAAATTTAAGAGGCAAGAATAGTTTGAAATCACAAGTTCTCCAATGAGCTCCAGGACACCCCATTTTCCATTTTATTGTGCTAATTCTGCTGAGTGAAAATAATAGAGATTGAAAAAATTTGTGCAGAGGACACAAGATAATAGCTGAGAGGGAAGCATAAATTTGAAACAGGTATAAAGTGTGACAACTCGTTGTCCATTTAATTGTGCTAACAATTATACAAGCTTAGTTTTCTCTCCTACGGAAAAATGGACAGTCAATTCTACCAAATTATCTGATCTTACTTTCAGCACAAAGATAAAATCAAACAACCCAGTCTTTCAATATTATGATACCCCATGTAAAGACTGTAGATCCACCTTGCCCTATCTTTCAAAGAGGGGATATACCATACTAATGCAACAAAAGTTAGCAAGTTCGAAGGCAAAAACAGTAATTATCCAACTGATATACCTGTACAACTTGCACCCCAGAGCTCGATCGTATTTCATAGAAATCATCATTTCCAACCCCCTTCAAATTTGGCCCACAGATACAGTAACTTCTGTCAGGGCTGCAATATAAGGCACAAATGTCAATTAAACCACAACTGTATTCAGATGACCAAGCAAATGAAAATATAAATCAAACTAGCACCTGCAGTGGTCCCATCGACGAATCTTCAAGTCTGTACCCCCAGTTAACAAGTCACCCCCAGGTAAAGGAAGTAATGTTCGAACACCAGGTAGACGAGGGGGAGGTTCATTCAGCTCATCAACTCTATACTTGGGATTGACATTCCGTCGCAGATCTGGTTTAGGATTTGACTTGCTGGACGGCCTTGCAAAGGCCCAAGGCAAATCAGAAGTTTCAGCCTCACCATCATAATTGGCCACTCTCAAGACCTAAAAAGGAAAGTTTAAACATTAAAAAATCAACTCAACTATGTTGGTTGATCAGTAATAAGATAATGAAAATACAGATATACCAAAGTGGTCCTTCCAGCTATGCAGTTACAAGATGAGTTTGTGTTACCAGATATAAATCACCACCGCTTTTTCACTCTAAGAGAAAAAGACGATGTGAGTACTCAATCAAACATCTCTTCCATTACACAGTACCACTAGATAAGACTTCTTCTGAAATTTTATTAAAGGTGATAATACATGTTATGCTGTTCACTTCAGTTTCTTCAACCCCTTACCCCTTTTTTATTATTGGTAAGTTCTTCAGGATATAATGAAGAGGGGGATCTAATCCAGGTAAAAGTATTCAGTTAAATTATTTTTAAGTCACAGTAGAAATCTTAAATTGTCATATGCAAAATATTTTAAGAAAATGTCAAAGGATTCAGAAACTCTCAGTGACCATGAGATGTCCTGTTTTTAGAAATGGTGCCAGATACTTTTCAATTTTCTGTTGACAATCAATCCACTGTTTCAAATTTCCTCCCCAAAAAAAAGCTTTTGTCCCATTTTCGTGGGCTGTGTTTAAACTATACTACCTAATTTATGATGTTAACAGGATCATTGGGACTCCTAAACTATTTAGTGCCATCTTATCTACATTTTACAACAAAAAGCAAATCAAAATGTACCTGGTGGCAGCTCCCATTTTCTGCATTCCAAAGTGAAACTTCATTGCAACCCGCAGCAGCATATATAAGAGGTCTTGCACTAGTAGATAGAGAGGTATTTGCAGGAGGAACAAAAAGGCACATTTTCTCTATAGGGCATACAACAGAATACTGCCATGAGTTCACAGGTATAAGGAACCTCAGATCCCAAAGAGTGAGCACACCCCTAGAAGATCCTGACACAAACCAATTTCCAGAAGGACCTGTCACCAGAGAAGATATGTAGCCTTCCTCAGGAATTGCTTTTAATGTCCATGCATGTGAATTTAATCTTGCATCCCACAGATGTATCCCACAACTTTGAGTACTGTACATAAACATCTGACTGGCACAATTATCAGCATTGTAGTTTACAAGGGTAACTATGGCACCTTCCTTGGTATCCTTCTTTTTTATATCAGCAATACCTGAATACTTTTCAACAACATTACCAAGACCTCTGGAGATGTGATCCACAGAAAACATATGTATCATGCCATCACATGCTCCAACAACAACTTGAGTCGAATTCCGAAGCATTATAGAGCACAAAGCTCGGCTTCCCTCTAAGTGATAAGTTAGCCTTGATCTAAATGAAATGTCCTTTTCTAACTTCCTTGAATCCCACACCTTGACAGTGGAATCATCAGATGCACTCACAAAAAAGCTATGATCATTTGAAATTGCAATGTCATTGACAGCAGAGCGATGCTCTTGGAGGTGTGCAACCAGCACTCCACGAGGTTTCCAGCCTGAATCTGAAATTGATGATGTTTGTGCAAAAGATGGCAAACCCATAAGATCAGAAGGAGAAGAAGCATCCTCCCCAGATATAGAACTCCCTTTTATTGTGCTAGATATCCCCATCTCTTGAAATTTACTGTTCACGTATGTAGTTTGATCATTTTCCCTGCCTTCTGGTTCATGTACTACTCTATAGAACTGTTTAGAACCATTACTAATGCTAAATGAGCCTGAAACAAGCTTAGGCACAGGAACTGAACTGGCCAAGCTAAAAGATTTATTCAGTGGATCCATCCATGGCATGGATGATGAACTGATTCCTAGGGAGTTAACATGCAAGGAAGAATCAGAAGCTGCAGGGAAAACTGCCCGCTTGTCCATAGTAAAGGAGTATAGAGGTATGCCTTCCGATGATTTATCACATAAGAGGCTATTTGCACCACTGACCTGTTGAGACATAAAGCCTGGGAATTGAAATTTCTCTGAGCATAGAGGATCCCGAATGTCAACCATGCTAGAAGCATGATACACAAAATTTCCCATACTTCTCAGCTTAGCCTTATCATCATCGTCGTCATCATCATCATCATTATCATCACCATCATGGCTTTTACTCAACTCAGACCGTTTTGAGGCATTGACTGCCATCCTTTGACCCTCTATACTTGGTTGCTTGTCAGGCCAGTACTTCATTGAATTTAAATCCATTGCCCCTCTCTTGAGTAAATCCACAGTTTCCTGTTGTTTAGATTGTGCAGATGAATTATACCATATCTTTCTCTGCCTCTCTAACATGTCAGAACTCCGAGCATTTTCTAACACTTGATAGAAAACCTCTCTAGACACTGGAGGTTTTAAACAAGAAAGAAGAGCTTTCACAGAAGCTAAAGATGCTGGTTGTCTGCAGAGGAAAGGGCGTATAACTGGGGCAAGGAATACATAGGAATCTACCGCACCCAAGCTCTCACTGCTAGCAGCAATGAAAGTCACAGCTGACCTTCTCACCCATTGACTAGGAAAACATAACAATTGAAATGCACGCTCTATCATCTCAAGAAGTATCCTCTTCCGAAGAAAACCACCTTTGCACAGAATAGCCAAACAATCCAATGCATTGACAATGACAGCCTCTGTTGCATCACTTAATGCCTGCTCAATGTAAGGTAACAGATATTCCTCCACACTTCTTTCACCCACAAAGAAGCAGACATACACAATCTGGCCATAAAATACAGCCCTTAATTGCTCATCTCGATCATTAAGAAAAGCAGGAAGGATGGGTAACAGAAAGTCATTACTCTGTCTCTGGCCAAAAAAGCAACAAAGGTTGCCAATATCCTGAAGGAGCGCTCTACGGATATTAGGAGTTTGCTTAGGACCCATTACAAGTTCTTGAACAACCTCAGCTATGGACTTTCTTAGCTGTGCAAGCTGAGAATCAACATTTAATCTCTGCAATTGTCCAGATGTCTCATTAGAGGATGCCAGTGATTTATGTGGTGAACTCAATTTGTCAAGAACACCTGCTTCACTCAAGCTTATTGAGTGAACCAGGAACCCATAGGCAGTAAGTGCCAGCTTAGCTATGTTGCTGGCATAACATATTCTCACACTTTCCTCTGGATCATCAGGAAGCATGGAAAGCATTGGAAGGATATACTCTGGAAAAATTTTAGCATCACTAGGAGGAAAATCCCGGACTAAAGGCAAAATATCACACAAAGTTTCCAATGCAGCACTACGAACAATTGCAGCTGGATCAGAAAGCATTGCAATAACATATGGAAGAACACGCTGCAAGCGATCTTCATCATCAATATATAATGAAGAAGACTTCAGTAAGAGTACAGCCCTCCTTCTCATGTGAGGAAGCTTAACATTGCGTATGCAGGAACAGAGCAGAGATGCAATAAGAACCATTCCTTCACATTTCACACTATCTTCAGGTAATGGTAAAAAGGTCCTGCCAAAGGTGTCCGATTGGCTGTCATACTCCGACATCAATGAATTTAAATCATTCATTGTAATCTTTTTCAGGAATGGATGAAAGTTTCTCCTAAATGCATCAGAAGTGCTTTGAAGAAGCTCGCCAGCAGAATGCACACCACCATTTCTGGGATCTTGACAATTCTGCACATCCTTCAGCATAGGTTTCGCACTAGAATAGTGATGGCTTTGTTTACCATCTCCAAGCAGGGTACTAATATCACCAAGTCTGAACCTGTTCTGGACTATACCTTTCTCCATCTTTTCTGTCTTCCCAAAAAAGTCATTTTGAAAGTTCAACTTCTGTTTTACAACTCTCTCTTGTGACTCTTTAACAGTAGCAATTGATGGTGTTCCAAGTCCACTAACTGTCTCATCACTTGATTTATTGCCCACCATCTGCTTAAGTATCTCAGGGAAAACACTCTGGCACATCTCAACCTGCAAAAGGAAAGAATAAGTAGTGGGAAATACAAAGTTTAAAGCACAACTTTAGAAAGTTGTTTACCCTTGTATCAGAATGACGAGCATTCCAGCAGCAGTAGAAATTATGCAAAAACGGTGAGAAATACATTGGAAACACAACAGCTGCATAATTCTGCATGTAGCTTTCAGCTGAAAATCGCGATTCTGGTTCCAGTTGAATCATATGAAGTATCATCTTGCGGATTCCAGAATCTGGGATCTGCAAGCACAGGGCATATGAATTGACGAAAAGATTATCGAGCATAAATGACAATAAACATGAAAACAATTCAAAAAATTCTAGTAATCTTCAATAGAGTAATCATTTATAAAGCCATGCACAGACCATAAGTGATGGCAGGAAAAAAAAAAAAAAAGGGAAAAATGGGCATATTCTCAGTTACACTTTAACAAAATCAAATGTCCAAATAGAGGTGTGTAGTTCAAGTAAGATAGGATTTTCTTGAGTTTAATACTGATTAAACATGACTAGATAGTACAAATTAATTTTTAAAAAAAAAAGAACAGAGTTAAGAAAATAGAGTGGAGGAGGGAGCAGGGATGTAAAGAGGAGAAAATGCATACCTTTTCAAGATGTTGGCTGGGATCATACTGCCCTCTGCGATAAGCAAGCAGCTGAGAGAGTTCAAACAGGGGCTGACCCTCAAGGAAAAGCTCTGCAATTACACACCTTAAATAGTTGCAATACAAGTACAGATCATTAGTTCATGAAAAACCACAAAACATACAAAAGTATCACTTTTCGCAAAAATATTATGTAATTAAATTTGCTAGAAGAAACAAATTATGTAATACCAGCTTCCATTTTAATTTTATAAAAATTAAAAAAGAAAATTTTCTTTCATTAATGCAACAAAAATAGGTCAATAAAACCAATGAAAAGTACAAACTGTTTTCAAGGAGCAAGCCTATGTTCTACTTTTGGTGAGAAAATAACAACAAATTGGTGAGATTATTATTCAAGTCAGTACTAATAAAATTAACTTCTCTATCTTTAAATATAACTTTTACATAGCTCTTCTTCTCTCACTCTTGTTTTAATACTTTGTCTTTTAATATATAACTAATACAAATGAACTAGATTAGTCCTCTGGAACAGAAATCTGTAAGACTCTTAATTAAGATTGCTTTATGTTTCTCCTAAAAAAGATTGTGGAATATAGAAACATCTAGTTCCAGTACCATAAATTACAGCCAATTAAACAGTAGCCTACAAACTTTGTTCAGCAGAAATTTAAAAAAAAATGAACAAGGAAAATGCTAAAGAAAAAGAAGAAGAAGTCAAAAATTGCATAATGCACTTCTACATTCTCGATATCAAGATATCTTTCCACATCATAATTTAAATACAATATATAGCACTAAGACATCGACGCTAATACTTTTAACACTCACCCTACAGCAAAGATATCCATAGATGGCTTTAAAGGAGCATCTTGTGCGACTTGCATCTCACCTCCATGCTCATAAAATCTCTAAAAAATCAAGGGAGAATTCAACTACACTGTCAATACATATACTACATAACAATTACATTACAAGATGAGAAGATTTGTTAAAGTTTTTGCCACAAAAGTTAACTAAATCCATATTTAACACAATAAGATTTTTCAATACAAGACTAATTAAAACTCCATCCCTTTCTTCCATAAGAAACAACAAACTAATAATTGAAACTGCATCACTTGATTTCAACCATAAATGATTTGAAAAATCCAAGCAGAAGACTATAACTACACCAAACACAAGCCATTCTTCAAGAAAAATGTTACGTAAATCATAATCTAAAAGGCAATGCACAAATCACAAGATACTGAGTCACTGCATAAACTAAAATTTTAAGAAAATAGGTCATGGTCCAAAAATAGTAATTGATTTGACATGCCCCCTACTGGAAAAAAAAGAAAAATAAATAACAACCACAACCAGCGATAAGATCATAACCATAAACATAACCTATTATAATTTATTTAATATTGTTGTGGGGTTCAAACCAAAGACCATCTGGTCAGCTTTGCTCTAATACCATATTAAGTTAACACTTGACCTAAAAGCTTAGGATGACAAGTAAGAACATAAAAATAGAAATTTAGTTCTAATAGAAGACATATAAAGATAATTAGAGGTAGAAGTAAATATACCGGGCAGTCAACTGCCATGGTAGACAGTTTTCATAGAATCAAATAGAAAACGATTTATGGTTATGAACAATAAAAAAGAGGCAAAAATGAAATGATTAAGAAAGTAATATTCCATAAACTCTTTATCCACACAAATTAACAACTACACCTCCACTATGAATATACCACTTCTACAAAGACATCTACTGTTTGAAAGTGCCAACTATAAAAAAAAAAATTTGTCAACCACACAGATTGCTGCATTGATATGCAACAGAAAAGTAAAGAGAATTAGAAAGCATATTGTTGGTATTAATCCACCAAATGTCCCTGCAAAATGTGTACAACATGAATTTCCATAATCTAAAGCCAAGGTTGTATATCAAACCCTAAGAACTGATGGGGCCTGTACACTGTGAAATATTAATGAATAAAACTGGTAGAGTAACCTTGCTATTTTCTTTTTCAGAATAAGCTTTCAAAGATTGACTTGCAGCAAGAATTTAATTTGCATTACTACGACTGAAGATTATATAGACCACTTATGATTCTAAAACCTCACAATTCCAGTTCTAATACAATTGACGAACAACTTGTACGTTAAAACCCAAAACCTTGATATACATGAGCAAAAGAAAAGCAGAAAAAGAAGCTTCATATATAAATGCTAAGTTTCACCACATATCATCAACTCATTGATGGCTCATAACAAGCATTCATGTAGAACGGAAATATCATAGACAGTATATTTAACGTGGTAATATATCAATGAAATGAACGGAAACTAAAAACCAACCTCTGGAGCAAGATAACAAAGCCTTCTTCCTCCAGTATCAAAAAAGAATGAGAAATCTGAAGGGTCGTCATAAGGAATGTATGTGGGTTTAAATGACGCAAAGTCAGCAAGATAAAGCCAATTCCAGGAAGTGACCAGCACATTCTCACACTTTATATCACCTAGAAAATTAAAGTTCATCACAAATCAACCATCACAATAACATTATATAAATTTCCTCCACTAAACTTACCATGACAAATCCCATGCTCATGGCACTGTTTTACTGCAAGAAGTAACTGCATTATGACAAAAATGTAGAATTTTCAGTGGAATTCTGCTGGTAATAGTTATAATTAACAAAGAAAGAGAGATATAAAGAGAAAATGGGAGATAAGTACCTGAAAAGCCAACCATTTCTTCTCCACAAGACTGAGAAAAGGTCTAGTACTTAACCGGTCATGAAGATTATTAAAAAAATACTGTCTCAATAAGTATGCAGCCTTGTCTGTTTCTTGCCAAAACTGCAAGAGCACACTAAAAATGAGAAATTTAAAGAAATATCCTCTATTTAATTTTGCCTAGAATAGACAATGGCATGAAAATCCAGCAAAGTTAAAAATAAAATAAACACAGCTATCCTAATTCTTTTATCATTCATCAAATACTCGTAAAATTCTACCATCTTAGCTTTACGCCGGTTCCACCAAGACCTTGAAGTCGATAAAGTAAATCTGTCACTACCACAGTCACAATTCTAAGATCCAAAATCCTTAACATTACTCTTTTTGAGTTTTCTCAGCAACCAAACACAAAATTAAAAGGCACTAGTTTAAACCTACCAATATTACTCAACAGAATTTAAAAAAAAAAAATTATCTAAAACCAAACCATGTTAAACTCAAATTCTCAAATTCGCTTTTTCTTAGAAACAAACAAAAAAAATCAAACGGAGTTGTTTTAATAAAGTAAGAGATGACAAAGAATTGGACCTGGAAGGGCCAGACATGAGGGTGGTCAATAACACGGAAGGTTTCCTTGATGTGAGCGAGTCGGCGTTCGTACTCTCTGAGATCGATGTAGTCACCACGCTTGAAATACACCTTCACCAGGACCAAGCCTTCATCGTGCTTGCACTGAATCGACTTAAAGAATCGGCCACGTCCCAATACCTCTTTCAGAACCAAATTGTATGAGGAAGGCAGGTCGTGCAGGTAATACTCCGACGCCGATACTTGCGTCGTTCGCGCGATCTTGTTGCCCATTTTTATTTTTCTTTTTCTTTTCTCTTTGTTCTCTCAATTAAATTACATTTGTTTTTGTTTGAATTTCTAAAGAGGCTTCGTCTGTCTAAAGAAAAAAAAAAGGGGCTTTTCTCTTTTCCGATTTCTTAACGATTGAAAGGGTGGAGCCGGTTTTTAAAGACAAAAGTGAAATTTTAATTGCTTATGTTTGTTTTATTTAAAAGGGATATAAGGGAAAACGCAAGCCCCCGTTAATTTAACCATTGCTTATCATTTTTTTATTATATTTAAAAATTTACTTTTTAATCCAACTTAATTAATATGTGACTGTTACATTGTTTACTTTTTTTTTTTTTTTTGAAAGACAAATTTTAGTGTTATAATATCTTAACCCATTTTAAAAGAAAAGAATTTCCATCTATTTAAATTTTATTTCTGTATTAAGCATTGCTCTTATAAACTTGTTCGGGCACTTTAGCATGTATTTTTTATTTTATTTTTATAACTAACTATCTTACGCATGCTTCAATTAATCTCTCAGGACCTTAGAACTACTAATCGAATAAAAGTTTTAGTGACTACTTTATTAGCAATCGAGGAAGGAGTCAAACTCAGAGTCTCTTGAGTAATAGTGTAATACACTCAAAAGTCTTTATTAAACCACTCAACCATCAAGAGGTAATTCACTAAACACATATCTTATTGTTAAGACAAATTATTAAAACTAATGAATTTCCTTTTTAAATTATATTTACAGTGGTATTATTTCTTTTCACAAGTCTTATTATTGTTTAAATTTATTAGAAAAAATGAACTTAAAATATAAGTTATAATTTGTTTTAAAATTACCCCTATTCTTTAAACATTAACTATCTAATTGGATTAACATCTTTTATCCATCACCGTTATTTCATAAGACCAACTTGATAGGTGGAAGAATCCCTGGACTTAAGTATCACACTTGACAGGTGTGAGATCCTGATGTGGGATCCTAGCATTGCACCCCCGACAGTAACCTTTTATCCCTTTGAGTGGTTTCACTCACCTATCAGTTATTCGATGCAATACCTCTTGAGCACACTACACCTTAATCAAGCATATAAGTAGCCCTCTCTGTAGCCCAACTCTCAACGAAAAACATCTATGTTAAAACTCAAGCTCATGGAAGAGTCCAACCCAAAAAATAGGTCTGATAAATGGGAGAGCACTAGGCTTAAGTAACACACTTTATGAGTGTGAGATCCCGATGTGGGATCCTACCAGAACACATGTATGATTTACGCATCTCTAATAAAATGAAATTTAAAACAAAATTTCTTATGAAAAACTGAAGCAATTGAATTTGCTACTTGTCGAGATCTTTACTTTAAGGCTCAATTTGGAGTGATAATGTTGCCCACCATTTAGCCATGCAGACTTAACTCAAAAGTCAAAACCGGTAATAGTTAATAATTATTCTGATTCTTTTATTACGGTGTTTCATAAATTAAATTTAAATACACTAATCAAAGTTGCTTGTGGGGGAAAAAAATTCGTAACATATCTGTAGATAGTAAGTTGTTTGTTGAAGATAGTTTTATGATTAAATTGCAAATCGTGTTTCGATTATTTTGGTATAAATAGTGTTATCGAACTTATAGTTATTCTAATAACAGTGACCAACGGCGATTAACTTATCAGAATTTTGACCAATAAAATAATATTCTGGTAAGAGTTTGATGAGACAGTAGATTTACGTATTCTAATCATTCCATATAGATTCGACAATTGTGGTCTACCATTTTTGTGGATTTTTTATTATATATATATATATTAAATACCTCAACTAATTTTTAAGATCTATTAGATACTACATAAATTTAATATTTTAAAAATAAACCAATTAATCCATTCCCAACAAACTTTAAATTAAGGGAATTTTTTTTTATGGATCCATATAAATCACACTGAAACTGAGCATTTTATTGTTAATTCATGGGGAAACATCTTTAAGCAGCAACAAATCCTCAATAGTTTGAATAAGTTTTGTTGAATCTCAACCCAAAAAGCAGCTGATTTGATTATCACATTATCTGATCAGTGAATTTTTCACCAGCACTCCTAATTTTGATCTACTGAGATAAAATCCGAACAGCAATCAAGTAAGACAATAACAACTAATTCCCTTTATAGAAATTCCAGAAAACAAAGTTTTTATTCTAATCCGAAACCATAATATATATACATCACATCAGCCGATAAGTAGAATAGCTAAACGACAATAACGATGATGACCCAACAATCATCTTGATGAAAATCAAACGGCCACGGCGACGGTCTCTTCTGGTTCTGGATCTTCATAGTTTGGATCTTTAACATCCACAACCTCTTTGGCGAAACCGATCTCAGCCTTCGAATAGCCATCACCGGACCACGTCCACTTTCCTCCACGACCTCCTTTCTTGGGCGATCCTCTCAAGCCAGTGCCAGATTTTTTGTCCATCTTCACCTCTGTTAATTTTCCGTTTACCTTAACAGTTCCCATGTGGCTTTTCTCTGCCTTCCCCATTCTCACTCTCGCCTCTCTTTATCTTATCAACTGAATTATTAATGTGTAATGGCCAATGGGTCGAGATTTGCCGCGTTTTATATAGAGGAGAAATGGTCTGAACCCATGATCGGTCTGTTATGCTGTGATTCGTGGACCCTGCTGAGTGGATAAGGACAACATTTATTTTCATTTTTATTTTGTGAGAGAATAGTTGCTCTCTCGTACGCGCCATGGGAGACTGCATGAATCAGAGACGCAATTTGGCATCAAATTTCCTTCACCGTGCACGTGGCAAAAATATTTGATCATCAGTACGGAGTTTGGATCTTTCGAAATTTGATTTGCGGTAATTTGATTTAATTATTTTAAGACATTTACCTCTTCAACTTCAAAAAACAGATACCTTATTTCCGTGATCGATCTAAAATAATTTCTTTCATGAAATACTTAAAAAAATTGTGTTAAATACTCTCATTAACCGGTTTTTTTTTCCTAAATTAAATTGTAAATATAAATAATATATATCCAAATAAAAATTAAATATTCATACGTATCAATTGACCACTATCACAATACATTAAAATTGATGCAAATGAAAGTCTGGAATGAATATTTTTTTATTTAAATATATAAATATTATTTTTATTTTTATTTAATATATATATTTGTAAAACCGGTTTCGATTAACTGTTTTTTTTTTTCTGAATCGAAAATCCAATTTTTGAATTTTTCGAACCATAACAGAACCGTTTTTTCGGTTAACCGGTTTTCGGTTCAGTTTTTACATTTTTTAACACCCCTAGTATTAATAACATCATATCAATTTAATATACATAGAGGTTATGTTAATTAATTGATTCATCATTTAGAACAAAAAATTGAGATAAATACTATTATCATTTATGTACAATTTATCCAAATCATCTATATTTAAAAGAAAGCTTATGATGTGTAAGAATATAAATGAAAATAGTTATTCTGTGAATTAGTTTTGCATTAGAATGGAATACGAAAATGAGAAACATAAAAAAAGAAGCCCTGCAGTAAACTAGGAAATTATTTCAATCTTATCTTAAATGGAATGCTTTGATCCATTCTTTTATTATTGTTGCATAAGTTTGTATTTTTGGTCTTCTTCATTTTGGAGATGAACTCCGAAATTACCAAAAATAAAATAAAAGTGAAAAAAAAAATCATTGTATATTTTAATGTAAGATATGAGATATATAGTTTCAATATTGAGGATTAAATATGCAAACATAGTTTTTCTCAACATATTTGCTTAAGACTCTTGGGTGTATTACTCAAGAAGTCATAAATTCGAATCTCCATAACTATTAATAAGGGGTAATCACTGGAAGTTCATCTGACTGTTAATTTCAGAGTCTCGAAGACTAGTTGAAGTGTGCACAAGCTAGTCTGGACACTCTCAGATACTAAAAAATTAAAACAATGTTACTCTCTTCAAAATACTCTTATAATTATAAGCCATTTAAATTTTAGGATCAGTTACCAAATTTGATAAATATAAAAATTTAATTGTTTATGAGAAAACTTCCTAGTTAGAATTGTATATTTACGAGTCAACTAGTTTTAAAGAACCATGAAAAAATCTAATAAATAAAAGCAATTTAGCAGTTTAATGATTTAATCTTGACTCTTGAATAGTTGGTCAATTGACTTGAGGGACAAGCACACGCACAACAGCCAACGGGACGGCTGCCTTGCCGTGTTTCCCAAACCCAAATACGTGGTTGACAAACACCCCAATGGAGCATGATAGCTACTACCAGTCTACCACTCACCCTTATTATTATTATTATTATTAGTTTTAAAGCATATTATTAATAATAAACAGTTACATCCTAATAAGTTCGAAATATCTACTTTATAATACAATGCTAGCCAATATTTATCCAAGTAAAACAGTAATAACTTTTTTTTTTTTTTTTAAGTAGTGTCATATATTTCAAGTTTTAAATCTTTACAAATTATGGATCACATATTTTATATTTATCAAAATTAAAATTTATGTATTGAATTATTTTTTGCAAATAAACTCATCTATTTGTGATTGCTGGATGTTGATTTCGCTATGTAAAGTTTCCGATACCTTAACATGGTAAGTATCGATTCTTAGCGTTATTCCAATAATTGTGCTTAATCCACTTCCACGACCTCGAATACCACTTTATTCTAATTATCTATTTGCATGATCTTTGTGCATGACATTATTCATATTACATAAAATTGACATGTAACCTCATTATTGTAAAGTTATATTTGGACCTTCTTATATGATCACTGGTATGTATGATGTTATTATTGAAATTTTATTTTAATCCATCAATTGATTGTACCTATTAACAGTAGCGGATCCAGAAATTTCTTTTAGGGTAGGCTAAAATAAAAATTTATTATACATTACTATTTTTGTCCATTAATATTTTTATTAGGGTGGGCCAAAATATATAAATTATACATATTAATATTAAAAAAAAAAAATTTGAGGGTGGGCCATGTGGCTGGATCCGCCACTGCCTATTAATATTGTATTGAGTTCATGTTATATATATTGTTTTATTATTTTGGATAGAGTTTTGAGAATAATATTAGGTTGTTGAATAGGGGAGTATTCTGAGGTAAAATTTAAAAATTTATAAAAAAACCTCATAGATTTGCTAATTTAACTAAACACCCCAATATATAAAATTTTTGTAAGATGACAAAAACACCCCCACCACCCGTAGTGCCAGATTTCAACCACCACTGCTGGAATCTAGCCGTAAAATTGCGTAATGACACATACCGTTCAGATCTGGCTGGTATAGCGTCAATATGACATTTTCCAACCAGATTCACCATAGATTTGACCGAAAAATGCCAGGTCTATGGCCAGATGCGACCATCAACGGCCACAAAAGTCCATTTTTGGTTGTCAACGACAGTTAGATCTGCCATTTTCTGGCCAAATCTATTGTGGATCTAGCCGAAAAAGGCCAGATCGGTGAATAATCGGCCAGTTTAGATCGTGGTGTAGGCCGTTGTGATAGATTTTAGCTACCACTGATGGTGGTTGCCAGAATCTGGCAAGTAAGGGGTGTTTTTGTTAATTTAAATTTTTTTCTAGGGGTATTTATGAAATTAATAAACTTAAAAGGTCTAAAAATAATTAAAAGATATAGTAATATTTATCAAATAATGTGCCAAACAAAATTTAGGGAATAAGATTAAGAATATGGGTAAAAATATGGAACCAAACGGTCCAAACGCACTCAAGAATATTATGATTATAATTATATAAAAAATTCATATTTACATCTCGAATAAATCACACTATTAATAACATTTTTCTTTGGTAGCCTGAGAATCAAGCTAATTTTACTATTAACTTCTTTTCCAATTTACCAAAGAATAAATAATAAAAAAAAAAATTTCCAGTGGCTATATAATTGCTGAGATGTCAACACGCCATGGGGCGACCAATAGAGCTGAAAAGAATTGGATTCGCTAAAAGCCCAGTTAAGTTAAAACGAGAAGGAAGTATCAATGAATGGAAAAGTTAGGCTGAGTGAGAGAGGGTTTGGTTGTCTCCCACTCTCACCTATATACCAAAAGCAAATAAATATATAAGTTGAGTTATGATAGGGTCTTTAAACCTTCTGCTGGCGCCGGTTTCTTCTTCCCCATTTCTCTCCTTAAATCGACTCTCTTGTTTTCACTCCTCTTCTGCACTCTCTGCCTCTGGTAATCCTTCAAATCCTTCTTTCCTCTTTCTCTAGTTTTGCACCAGATAATTTACCCTTCAAACTTTTGCTGCATGCTTGCTTGTTCTCACATTATCTGAAATTCATTTCATTTTGACTTTCTATTCCTTTTTTAATTAGAATTTTCTGCTCTATACTTATGGAGGACTAAGTGCATTCTAAGTAGACTTGTAATTTTATCTACTGTAATAAGGATATGATTGTGCATGCATTGATAAAACTTAGACGCGGCTTTTTATTTTTCCTTTTTTTTTGTCTTATAAATAATCAGTTATTTAGTTTTATGGTTGTTTGGTGGATATTCTTTTGTTTTAAAATGAAAATAGAATCTAAATTCCATGGATTTTGCTGCTTTACTTCTTCAGAAAGAAAATTATAAGCATGAATTGATTCATTGGTTGTTCGGGCGGGTCTTCTGTTCTATACATTATTGTATCATTCGGAGTAATTTATGTGGTAATTGCAAAACTAGATAGACCTATTGAGGGCAACGTCTAGAAGGCTTGCGTTGGCAACAAAGGCTAGTACAATAACAAGCATGGCTAAGGTAAGCTGATATATTTTGTTGTCATGTGCACCTCTGAGATTCATGTCTGGTGCAACTTGATTTGCCCTGAAATTGTTCCATTGTTGTGATACAGGAAGAAGAAAATGCGGGCAATGTAAAGCGGCAATTAGCAAAACTCTTTGATGAATCACTTAAAGCAACAGTACCTAACGAGCCGGATGTAGAGCCATTAGTTGCTGCCTGCACTGCAAAATTTGGTGATTACCAATGGTATGATACTGTGCTGGTAGCCTGAAAAATATGAATAAATATAGTTAATGAGTTTTCTTTAGAAGGGATATCTAAACTAGACCTATATTTCAGTTTTTGAGTTCATGTTTTATACGCTTTCTCTATGAATTTAATTAAATTTTTTATCTGCTGCAGTAATAATGCCATGGGTTTATGGTCCAAAATTAAAGGAAAGGGTACTGAATTTAGGGGTCCCCCAGCTGTTGGACAGGTATTTACATTGTCATTCTGTATGGTTCTATCTTCTACTTCTAATTTGAGTGTGGATGACCTTGCTTTTGGACTTACTTTATTGCATCAAATAATTGTTGACAATTTTTTTTCTTGGTTAGGCCATCATGAAAAATCTTCCTCCATCTGAAATGATAGAGTCGTGCTCTGTAGCAGGACCTGGATTTGTGAATGTTGTGTTAGCAAAGAATTGGATAGCTAAGGTGTCTGCATATCATCTATTTTATTTCAAATCTGTAATTTTGTTTTATCTTATTTCACCTGATTTGTAGTTGCAACAGTTTTGCAAGACTGCTTATTTGTTGATTGCTATTTCAGACCATTCAGAGGATGCTAATTGATGGTATTGAAACATGGGCACCTAGGCTTTGTGTGAAAAAGGCCGTGGTTGACTTTTCCTCACCCAATATTGCAAAAGAAATGCATGTTGGCCACTTGAGATCTACTATTATTGGTGACTCACTAGCCCGAATGCTTGAATTTTCCAATGTTGAAGTTCTTAGGCGGAATCATGTTGGTGACTGGGGTACACAGGTAGATTTGGTTTCTGAAAATATGTATCCTCTGTGTGGAAGCTTCTCATGTCTTATAAGGACTTAAGTCATCAACCTTAATTTTAGACTACTCAATGTAGCATCAATATTTATGCTTCGTTTTTCAATATTATTCCAATCAGAGCTGAATTATTTCCTGACAGAAAATGGCAAATTGAAGTTTTTCTTAAGAGTTTCTTTGCTGTACAACACATAGTTCTTGTCTACATATATTTGCCTGTGTGGATTATTTAATAATTTACAAAGATGAGATCCCAATCTTTTGACACTGTAATTTTGAGGGTGACAACTTAATGATTCATGATTTTGTTCCATTACAAAGTTTGTATCCTTTATGATTTTGAAGTTCGTATTCTTGATAGGTTTGCTTATTTCTTCACTGTATATTGATTTTGTTGGTACTCCAAACTTCATTTCCCTTCATCATTCTGTCCAGCTTAAAGATTTCAAACATATTTTGCAGTTTGGTATGCTGATTGAACATCTCTTTGAGAAGTTCCCCAATTTTGAAGATGTTAATGAAACAGCCATCGGAGATTTACAGGTGAGTGAAAAATATCAATAATCTTGGAATACTGAGCTTTAATTTATACAGACTTACCAAATATAGCACTTTGCATTGCAATCCTGGACCTCTTTCTTTATTTTTATTTTTTTTAGATTTTTAAATTGGTGCAACTTCATGCTATAGAGTTCCTGTAAAAAAAAGGAGGAGAAGAAGAAAAAATATTCTGTACATTGATGACTGCTTTTTGTGTGCAACAGAAGATGGTGGCTCTACTATTTTCAGTTAAATAATATCCACATGTTAATGAGGAAGCTAAAAAAAGTTATTTCTAATTAAGCAATCAGCTCATGATAAAAGTATAAAAAGGTGCAGACAAAACTTTCATGGAGTATGTTTGTTGTTGTCCTTTACTTTGTCAGTAAACTATTATGCATGTAGAAATGATGAATCGATATTTGAAATTAGTTATTTTCTTGATACTAAAGAATTTAATAACACATATTTTGTATGGAAAAACAAAAAATGAAAATGTGAAGTTTAATATGATTGTTATTGCAACTCTTACTTGGATGTTATACCATTATTAGGCATTCTACAAGGCATCCAAACAGCGATTTGACTCTGATCCAGCTTTTAAGGATATAGCTCAAAAGGCTGTAGTTCGGCTTCAGGTGAACTGTTTGCCCTTGTAGTGTGATACTTGTAAGGTTGATCTATGTGCTATTGAAAGATCTTTTAAAGATCTGTGAGACTTTTAATTTTTTCATGTATAAATTTCCCTATATATTCTTGTTATGCCAAAATCATTACAGGGCGGGGAACCCAAGTATCACCAGGCTTGGGCACAGATTTGTGAGATCAGTCGAAGAGAGTTTGATAAGGTCTATCAAAGGCTTAGAGTTCAGCTAGAGGAGAAGGTAAATGTTTAGCTTTATTTAACATTTTGTTGTTGTGCACCATGCTAACTTTCATGGGCACTCATGGGTCCCCTGGAAACTTGTGCATTTATAAAGAAAATATTTTGTTTTGTGCTTATTACTTTTGTATAAGCATGACAGTTGTAGCTGGAAGCTTGTTTATATTAATTGATCTGATATACTGCATTTTGCTTCATGAGTTGAATTTCTTAAATCCTAGCTTTAGTTGTATTCTATGATTCTTTCTTACAAGCTCTGCTACCAGGTTAGGTCTAGGCAATTAGTATGTTCCTTGAAGCTGTTAGTGGCATTAATATGTAAATCTGCAACCTTGTCAAGTTAATGAGTGTGGCTGTTGTAACATTATGTCTGAGTAACCTTTGGAAGAGGTAAATTGAGAAGGAAATTAAGTTGCGCAGCCACCTGCACATTCTCAATACACGTATAGTAATGTTTTGATATAGAGAAAGGTTTTAAAGAACCTTGTTAGAATAAATTCAACTCCAGCTATACCATTGAAATGAAAGTTTACCTTTATTTTTTTAGAATTTTATATGAATACATGATGTGAATGTATATGATGATGTTGAGTAGTTGTTTTTATATGACTTGGAAACTTAAAAAAAGAGAATTAGATATTTTGAATTGAAGTTGTGTACAAAATGCAAGCTGCGTTCTTTTTCCAGATTGATTCACTGCATAGATCTCTTCAAATTTTAAGCTGATATAGTTAATACAAAAAATTAGGGCAAATTTAGAATGTATTAAATAATTTTTCTTTGTTGACAGGGGGAAAGCTTTTATAATCCATATATTCCTGGGGTGATTGAGGCATTGACAAAGCTAGGATTGGTTGAAGAAAGTCAGGGTGCTCGTGTGATCTTTATTGAAGGGGTTAACATACCTCTCATTGTTGTGAAGAGTGATGGTGGTTTCAATTATGCTTCAACGGATCTAACTGCTCTCTGGTTAGTCTTTTGTTCTATTCTTCTTCTATTATGTTTTGAAAATAAAATTTTGGAGCTGATGAATTGTAGATCTTAAGATTCTTAAGTGTTTTTTTGTTTGTTGTTTCATTTCTTAGATTTTCGTTGTATTTTATTGGCTAAGTTGACGAGAAATGTTGATAAATATCTTACACGGTTGAGAGACACTGAAATAGAGTGGGTTATGCCATTGGGTTATACAATTTTCACATATATATGCTTGTAACACAACTATAGCACTCTGCAGACTTGTTGCACTAATTATATATCAATAATTAGACCTGTTGGCTTTTTTCATTTTTCTTTTTTCTTTCTTTTTTTTTTTTTATGGGTAGCAATTGGAGTTAGAGCTAAAAAGATTAGTTATTGATGATTGTAAAGATAAATATCAAATATTGGAATCTTCTCTTTTGAATTCTCTGTTTTCAAAAGTTTGGATGTTCGAGTTGCATGGAGCCTTGGACTTGTAAAATTAAGTTAAGTGTCATGGAGATCTAATATGATATCTGGATTAGTGAATTGAATTGCCGGATTTTGGTGCCCATCTTGCTAATTCTTTGTACAGCATAGCATGCCAGACTTTTACAGTTTGTATTGACCTGTTTGGAGTTGCCATTTTCGCTGTCATTTAGTGTCATGTTACGCTTTTGTCCTTTGGTGGTGTGTTGTGAATATATCTCATAGTGGTCACGTCACACTGTTTCCACTGAGTTACGTGTTTTCATGTGCTTTCTGGATAACATCTAAATGCTGTATTTTAGAGGTTTTTAACTTGTTAATTTTTGGAACTATGCTGTTGTCAGTTACTCAACTACAGTTCTAGTGTTAATCAACATTCATTTGATTACATATCTCTGTGTGGTATAAAAGTGGGAACTAGTTAACATAGTCTTATTTATTGCACTGCTTAAATTGTGCAGGTATCGCCTTAATGAAGAGAAGGCTGAATGGATTATTTATGTTACTGATGTTGGTCAGCAGCAACATTTTGATATGGTGTTCAGTGTATGTATCAAAACCCATGTGCTGTTTTCTGTTTTTGTGGCTTTTCATCATGTTGTCTAAACTCTTCTTTCTTTTCCCTGTTATTTGACCTGTAATGACATTATAATGCTAATTCCCTTTAGTGGTGGTCTGTTAAATTGTATACTAAGAAACATTTCATTATAAAAATTGTGGATTTGTGCAAATAGCATTCTGTAATGGTATCAGAAGGTAATACATGCTTTTGATTTTATATTCAGGCTGCCAAACGTGCTGGTTGGCTTCCATCTGATGGTAGTACATACCCTAAAGCTAGCCATGTTGGTTTTGGCCTTGTTCTTGGAGAAGATGGCAAGCGTTTTCGGACTCGCAGCAGTGAAGTAGTTCGGTTAGTTGATTTACTCGATGAAGCCAAGAGCCGCAGTAAAATGGCACTAATTGAGCGTGGTATAATATTGAGTGATCTTTTTTTTTTTTTTTTAATTACTAGACATGTGCTCCATCTCACTGTATGCATAATCTGATATTGTGTGCTTATTCAGTTTTGTTCCTGTAAGATACCTTTGAATTTCATGTGCTTCTGTGAGGTACCTTTCATCCTTTCATTTTCTCAAGTGTGAAAATAGTTCATCTATCCCTGATCAGGTAAGGCTGAAGAATGGACTGAGGAGGAGCTGGAGCAAACTGCTGAGGCAGTGGGTTATGGTGCTGTTAAGTAAGCTTTCTATAATCTTATAAGCTTTTCCTTGGCAACAGTTTGAATCACCAGAATCATTGGTTGTGGCTTGCAACACAGGTTGCATGCACTCAAGAAAAGAAAAGAAAAAAAGAAAAGAAAAGAAAGGGATACTTTACATGCTATGTTGATGAAAACATTGTTGCAATTCCAGTATATATTGACTACAACTCTATTCTTAAATTTTTGAAAATGGTTCCATGGATCTTAGGAATTGTTATACAATTGACTCCAATATCTAGATATATTAGTCTCATGTGATTAATAGGATTTTCATAGTCAATTCCTTTCTGCCAACTATCACAACTTAGTAATACACACCCTTTTCAGTTTGGATATGATGTATTAAACGATCTGTTGCACTTAGGCCATTGCCCTTGGACCAAATATCTTATCACCTTATAATATAAGCTAAGGGATGGCGTTCTAGGTTGGCAAAGTAAAGGGTGGGAGGCGTATCAAAGGGGGTTAGTTGTCATTAGAAAACATGTCAAAGTAGACTTTATCTTGTTTCTTTTTTTAATAATTTGTTATTTTTATATTCAAAGTTACATGCTTCTTGGGAACTTTTATCTGGTGTTGGGAGGGGGTTATCAGAAATAATGAAATATACTTTTATTATTATTTAATTATTATGGTAATCCATGATCATTTCCCATGATTGTTGTCTGAATATTCTATCAAATATATGCGTTGAGGTATTATTTTCATGCAACAGTGTGCTGGATCTTATAAACTACATAAGGTTTGTGGATGAAATAAATGATTGATAGTATGTGAATTGGGTCTCAAATGACTCCTACAATATCGTCTCTCTGTAATGACCATGCCTTTTAATTTTATTGTCAGTTCCCCTTTATGATATGTAAATGTATATTTACATTTGTCTTGGCAGGTATGCTGACCTGAAGAACAACAGATTGACCAATTACACATTTAATTTTGATCAGATGCTTAATGATAAGGTGTGTCTGTACTATTTACTGATGTTTAGTTTGATCAGTTCTAAATATTGTTTTATTGAACTTTTTTCTGTATATTCTTCTCTTTTCCCCCTGCTTTTGCTTTATATGTTACCAGTGTAGTATTCTAATCGGAGTTGATGTCTGCAATTAACAAACAAACGCCACACACCTTCTCTCATTATTGTTAATCATATGATTGCCACTACCACCATTGTTTATATTTCTTACATTCTAAAATTTATATGAGCAGGGAAATACTGCTGTTTATTTGTTGTATGCTCATGCACGGATCTGTTCGATCATCAGAAAATCTGGCAAAGATATAGAAGAGTTGAAAAAGGTAAGCTTTCTATTTGAAGCAAAAGCAATGCTTAGAGCATCTCTAATGGTGTTATTTATTTTAAAGAATATCTTTCATATAAATAAAGAGCATGTTCATTGATTTTTAAATATAAAGAGCAAAATTTTTATTCAAATCCTATACTCTTTAAATTTTAGGAGAGAGAATATGTTTTTTAAAGAAAGAAACTTAATAGGAGAGATAAATCATAAATAAAATGCATAGAAACTTGCAATTTATTATTTAAAATTAGGATAGAGAGTGAAATTTGACTCTTTAAATGTGGAGAGTCAAACTCACTCTTTAATTTATATTTAAAGAATAAAGAGTCTGTTAAATTCTTATTTCTATGAATAAACTCTTTATAATAAAGAGTTTAAATCATATAAAGAGTCATTTGAAGATGTTTGTAGCAATGTTCTTTAAATTCTCATTTGTTATTTTTTGCGCGTGGCCTAACCTGACTAGATGGCAATATTTGGGTTGTGAGGCACCCCACCCCACCCCATTATTTGAATCCAACATTGAGGGGGTCTGGGGTGGATATGATTGGGTTGTGGGCTTGCCCGCCTCGACCTACTTTTAAAATTCATTCATTATATTGTTTAAATTATTACAATAATAGATTTTAAATTAGGGATTTTTTAGCGATAATTATAATTAAAATTATTATAAATAATATTATTCATTAAATTTATTTAAAAATAATTGTTTTATTATGTAATTCAAATTAAATTTACGACAAATGAATAAATCTATAATTACTTGTTTCAGTGATTGTTAATTTAAAAAAAATTAATAAAACTTTTTAAAAAGTCTTGAGAAAAATAAATTTATTATTAAAAAAATGTGAAATTAATAGTTAAATAAAGTGTAATTAATAGTTGAGTGATAAATGAGGTGATGTGTTGGAGTAGATTAGCAGAATAGGTGGTTCCATGTGGTAGTTAGGTGATGCAGCGACACCCAATCCAATTTAATTGATTGAGATTCAGGCATTCCAGTCTCAACCTAATTCTAAATGATTTAAATGCGTGAGAACCCAACCCGTTTACCTATTTTGATTTTCCTCGTCATTTGGGGATATTTTGAGGTTGGTTTAGGGAGTTTGGAATCGCGAGTTAACCTATTTTGATTTTCCTTGTCATTTGGGGATATTTTGAGGTTGGTTTAGGGAGTTTGGAATCGCGAGTTAACGAGGAAAGGCATAGAAGATCATTAGAGACTTATTGTGAATGCAGTTATAAAGGAAGATTCAACAAGATGATTAGTTGATGTCTTTTCTAAATATTTGTTTATATCGTATAATATTGTTAAAAGATGGTATAATATCTTGTCATTGGATTGAGAATCGTAAGCATAGTTAGACATACATACTCTAAATTATCCCTTAGATTACGTCCAACTGCTGGTGGTAGGATGGTAATATGGGTAAACGGGTTGGGTATTCACGAGTTTCAACCCATTTGGCTTACCCTTTATCCCACCCAATTAGAATTGGGTTGAGCTTGGGGCACATGGAACTACCTAACTCTACTATCATACCATTATCTAGTTATCATGTGGGACCCCCTATTCTTCGTTGGACACATCACCTCATTTATCACTAAATTCTTAATTTCACATTTATTTTTTTTAAATAATAAATCTACTTTTAGAACAACTCTTATGAATAATCAAATTATTAGATAATTTTTAGTAATTAAATTATTATGATTCAAACGATCAAAATTTAATGTAAATTGCATATTCAATATATTTTACACATTTGCTACATTTTAAAAATGACATCACCTCATTCATCACTAAACTTTTAATTTCTTTTTTATTCTTTTTAAATAATAAATTTATTTTTAGAACAACTCTTATGAGTAAGCAAATTATAATATAATTTTTTGTAATTAAATTATTATATTTTAAATGATCAAGATTTAATGTAATTTGCACATTCGATATATTTTACACATTTAATACATTTTAAAAATTACAAAATTCAAATTCATTTTATTGAAATTCGTATAAAATATATATAACTCTTAGTTTTAATATATTATTTTTAGTTTCTTTTATTAGTTATTATTTAAAAAAATTGTTCTTTTCAATTTATGTTATTTAATATAATTTTATTAGATGAATATATAGATGACATATTATTGAATAATACATCATTAAATGTTTGTATAGATAACATAAGGAAGATGATGTAATGGAGATATTTCTCTCAAGTCAAACANGTATGCTCATGCACGGATCTGTTCGATCATCAGAAAATCTGGCAAAGATATAGAAGAGTTGAAAAAGGTAAGCTTTCTATTTGAAGCAAAAGCAATGATTAGAGCATCTCCAATTGTGTTGTTTATTTTAAAGAACATCTTTCATATAAATAAAGAGCATCTTTATTGATTTTTAAATATAAAGAACAAAATTTTTATTCAAATCTTATACTCTTTAAATTTTAGGAGAGAGAATATATTTTTTAAAGAGAGAAACTTAATAGGAGAGATAAATCATAAATAAAATGCATAAAAACTTGCAATTTATTATTTAAAATTAGGATAGAGAGTGAAATTTGACTCTTTAAATATGGAGAGCCAAACTCACTCTTTAATTTATCAATAATACTATACTTACAAAGATTTATATACATAGTGAGGTGGCAAAATATGAATGGAAGAGTGAAACAAAAAGTCAAACTCATTAATTTCACTCTTCCATTCATTTTTTGCTACATCATTTTGTATGGAGGTCTTTGTAAAATTTCTTTGTAAGTTTAGTATTACTCTTAATTTATATATAAAGAATAAAGAGTGTTAAATTCTTATTTCTATGAATAAACTCTTTATAATAAAGAGTTTAAGTCATATAAAGAGTTCTTTGAAAATGCTTTTATTTCCTTCTTGTAGCAATGTTTTTTAAATTCTCATTTGTTATTTTTTGCACGTGGACTAACCTGACTAGATGGCAATTTTTGGGTTGTGAGGCACCCCACCCCACCCCATTATTTGAATCCAACATTCAGGGGAACTGGGGTGGATATGATTGGGTTGTGGGTTTACCCGCCCCGACCTACTTTTAAAATTCATTCATTATATTGTTTAAATTATTACAATAATAGATTTTAAATTAGGAATTTTTTAGCGATAATTAAAATTAAAATTATTATAAATAATATTATTCATTAAATTTATTTAAAAATAATTGTTTTATTATGTAATTCAAATTAAATTTACGACAAATAAATAAATCTATAATTACTTGTTTCAGTGATTGTTAATTTAAAAAAAAAAATTAATAAAACTTTTTAAAAAGCTTGAGAAAATAAATTTATTATTTAAAAAAAGTGAAATTATAGTTAATAAAGTGTAATTAATAGTTAGTGATAAATGAGGTGATGTGTTGGAGTAGATTAGCAGAATAGGGTGGTTCCATGTGGTAGTTAGGTGATGCAGTGACACCCAATCCAATTTAATGGATTGAGATTCAGGCATTCCAATCTCAACCTAATTCTAAATGATTTAAATGCGTGAGAACCCAACCCGTTTACCTATTTTGCTGTTTCGCTTTCATTGGGGATATTTTGAGGTTGGTTTTGGGGTTTGGAATCGCGAGTTAACGAGGAAAGCATAGAAGATCATTAGAGCTTATTGTGAATGCAGTTATAAAGGAGATTCAACAAGATGATTAGTTGATGTCTTTTCTAAATATTTGTTTATATCGTATAATATGTTAAAAGATGGTATAATCTGTCATGGATTGAGAATCGTAAGCTAGTTAGACATACATACTCTAAATTATCCCTTAGATTAGTCCAACTGCTGGTGGTAGGATGGTAATATGGGTAAACGGGTCGGGTATTCACAGTTTCAACCCATTTGGCTTACCCTTTCCCACCCAGTTAGAATTGGGTTGAGCTTAGGGCACATGGAACTACCTACTCTACTATCATACCATTATCTAGTTATCATGTGGGACCCCCTATTCTTTTTTGACACATCACCTCATTTATCACTAAATTCTTAATTTCACATTTATTTTTTTTAATAATAAATCTACTTTTAAACAACTCTATGAATAATCAAATTATTAGATATTTTTAGTAATTAAATTATTATGCTTCAAATGATCAAATTTAATGTAATTGCATATTCAATATATTTTACACATTTGCTACATTTTAAAAATGCCATCACCTCATTCATCACTAACTTTAATTTCGTTTTTATTCTTTTAAATAAAATTTATTTTTAGAACAACTCTTATGAGTAAGCAAATTATAATAATTTTTTTGTAATTATTATTTATTTTAAATGATCAGATTTAATGTAATTTGCACATTCGATATATTTTACACATTTAATACATTTTAAAAATTAAAATTCAAATTCATTTATTGAAATTCGTATAAAATAATATAACTCTTAGTTTTATATATTATTTTTAGTTTCTTTATTAGTTATTATTTAAAAAATTGTTCTTTTCAATTTATGTTATTTAATATATTTTATTAGATGAATATATAGATGACTATTATTGAATAATGCATCATTAAATGTTTGTATAGATAACATAAGGAAGATGATGTAATGAGATATTTCTCTCAAGTCAACCTCCCATATTTGGTGTGAGCGAGGCCTAATTCCTATAGTCTTGATCTAGCCTAAGATGCTTAAGCAATTGAATTAGCTGGGGCCCACACATTTGGTGCTCTCCTTATTCAGAGGTTTTCTAACTGAATCTATGTGGAAGTTTAATCTATGAATTAATTTTGTACTTTAGTCAAGCTACATGGATGCGATGTGCTTACTTACTCCCCAAAACCTAAATAAGCTTGACATATGTCTACCCCTTTAAAGCCGTGGTTTCAAATTGTCAAAAATTTGGAAGTTTTAAATATATTTACCAGAATGTGGAGGTTGTTTGATTTGAATTACTGGCTGTTTTTCATAATTTCAGGAATATTCTGTAGTTGATCACAAATCAGGGAGTCAATATATTACTGT